TATGTAATAAATACACACACATTTATATGTATACTTTCACACATGTATATATAGATACATCTGTATGCATGTATTTATGCATCTGCTCCTGGGTGATGACTCAAAATGTAAATCTCATAGATCATGGTAAAAGAATTGAAAGCTACCAGAGAGAGGGTAGACAGGGTAGTTACTTTCTCTTTTCCCATCCCTAAAGCAGCTTTCTTTTCTTTCCTTCTCTGTTCTTTAATTCTAGAACATACTCCCGAAAGGAGAAACATCTGTATGCATGTATTTATGCATCTGCTCCTGGGTGATGACTCAAAATGTAAATCTCATAGATCATGGTAAAAGAATTGAAAGCTACCAGAGAGAGGGTAGACAGGGTAGTTACTTTCTCTTTTCCCATCCCTAAAGCAGCTTTCTTTTCTTTCCTTCTCTGTTCTTTAATTCTAGAACATACTCCCGAAAGGAGAAGGCTTTCCAGGAGACTAGGCTATTTAAGGACTAGTATGTGTTTAAAATGTGATCTAGAGGTTTCTTTTGGGGGAAGGAGGTAGACACTCATGACCTCACGCAATGCTAGGTAATTGCTCTGCCTTGGCTCAGATTTGCCAGCACGATGTTGTATATGCCTGTCACACCACCAATCCTACTGTGCTGTCATTGTCAGCAATGCATCAGTTTGTCCCCCAGAATTGTGAGTTTTTTAAAGGCCAGCACTACTAATTTCAAACATTACTACTTATAAGGGGAAGATATGTAAGGGGAAGATTTCCAGTACATTTGTCCACCTCTAATTGTTTCTCTTCTTTAGCAAAAGCGAAAGCTCCGGATCTACATTTCCAATACATTCAGTCCCAGCAAGACAGATGGTGATAATGCAGGAACTGCAGGGACCCCAGGGGGAACCCCAGCAGCCGACAAGGTGGCTTCCTGGGAACTCCGAGTAGAGGGAAAACTCCTGGATGATGTAAGTTGGGGAAGGAGGTGCTGGCAAGGGAGGAGGCCTATGTTAGTCTAGACTGGAGCCACAGGTGGGCACTCCTTAAGAAAAGTCTTACTGTAGGGAGAGGGCACAGCTTCAGCCTATTGGAAGTTGGAGTTTTTGTTTTGTTTTTCGGTGCTGGGGATCAGTCCCAGGACCTCACACATGCTAGGTAAGTGCTCTACCACTGAGCTTTCTATAACTCAGGCTTGAGGATGAACATTTATGTAGTTATATATATATAGCTTTCCTGTAGATGACAGTCAAGTATCACTGATTGGTATGAGGTTCATAGAGAGCGAGCCCTTTTCCTCCCACTATGCCCACTCTGTCTGCTTCTTCAGGGCCCATGATTGTGCCTTAAACTCTAGAATTGAAATGTTGCTTCTTTTTTGATGAGAGAACTTAGCATCTTTACACCCCTTTCCATTCCCAGCCTAGCAAACAGAAGAGGAAGTTTTCTTCATTCTTTAAGAGCCTTGTCATTGAGTTGGACAAGGAACTGTATGGGCCTGACAACCACTTGGTGGAGGTGAGTGTGGCCCTAGCGTTTGGGAGGGACAAATAGTTGTTTGGGGACACTGAACATAAGCTGGTAATGGCTGAGTGGGATAGCTTTAGCTACTTGGAGCCTAGTTAGTAATAAAAGGCATCTCCCCTCTTCCCTGTCAGTGGCACCGGATGCCCACCACCCAGGAAACAGATGGCTTTCAGGTGAAACGGCCAGGAGATCTCAATGTCAAGTGTACCCTCCTGCTCATGCTGGATCATCAGGTGACAGATGCCCAGGGGTCCTGCCTGGGGCCAGAGAGATTCATGTAGGGGAGGGGAGCAGAGTCCTAGAAATCCTTCCTTTTGGTTTTTCACAAGAAACCTTCCTGCCTCTCTCTGTCCATTCCCAGCCTCCTCAGTATAAACTGGACCCCCGACTAGCCAGGTTGCTGGGAGTGCACACACAGACAAGGGCTGCCATCATGCAGGCCCTGTGGCTTTACATCAAACACAACCAGCTGCAGGATGGGCATGAGCGCGAGTACATCAATTGCAACCGTTACTTCCGTCAGGTTAGCTGGTGCCATCCTCTTGTTCTCTCAATCCCTGGCTTATCTGCTGCTCTAGAACCTTAGTGGGCTAGTTCTTAGCCACTCTTCTGACTGCTGTCTAGTGGCTCTGGAATGGTCTTACTTCCCCATGCCTCAGACATCACCAAGCCTTTGGTGATCTTTCCAGATCTTCAGCTGTGGCCGACTCCGTTTCTCTGAGATTCCTATGAAGCTGGCTGGATTGCTGCAGCATCCAGATCCCATTGTTATCAACCATGTCATTAGGTAAATGGAAAGGCTTTTGAAGAGCAGTCACCCTTTGCTTGATGGAAAGACAAAGGGAGAAACCTTACTGTAATGTAAGCATAGAATTGTCAGGTGATGGGATGGACACAGCCACATGCTTCCCTTCCTTTCTTGTGTGTTGTCTATAGTGTGGATCCCAATGACCAGAAGAAGACGGCCTGTTATGACATTGATGTGGAGGTGGATGACCCACTGAAGGCCCAGATGAGCAACTTTCTGGCCTCTACCACCAACCAGCAGGAAATTGCATCTCTTGATGTCAAGGTGGGTCCTCTGCCTCCACAGCCTCATCTGGGGCCAGAGTAAGGATGAGCTGATCTGTTACTTCCATACAGCACATTGAAAACAGGACCTCTGGCCCGAGGTCTGAAAACTGTTCCTAGGGCTGGAGCACATTTGACACATGTACGCCTTCCTCAGATCCATGAGACTATTGAGTCCATCAATCAGCTGAAGACCCAGAGAGATTTCATGCTCAGCTTTAGCACTGACCCCCAGGACTTCATCCAGGAATGGCTCCGTTCCCAACGTCGAGACCTCAAGGTGTAGTCCTCTTTCCTGAAGGGGGTTCCATGTGAAACCCTTGGGTGATTGCACCCCAAAGCACTATTCCAGTCCTAGGGCAGGCAGATCAGCTCAGGGGTAGGAATTATGCAGTGGCTTATCCCTGGTTCTTTACAGATCATCACTGATGTGATTGGAAATCCTGAGGAGGAGAGACGAGCTGCTTTCTACCACCAGCCCTGGGCCCAGGAAGCAGTTGGGCGGCACATCTTTGCCAAGGTGAGGCCCTGCCGTTTTATCCTTCTCTGGTCGAATAGCTGAAGTCTCAGCTATGTTTTCTTTCTCCAGGTGCAGCAGCGAAGACAGGAACTGGAACAGGTGCTGGGAATTCGTCTGACCTAACTGCTCAGGGATCTCTTCCTTCTTTCCCACCCCTGGAACCTGGCGGGAGACGTAGGATGGGGTGAGGTGTGTCTCCTGTCACCCTCTACTCCCCAGCTTTAGTTTCATAAATGTAGTGTTAGGATTCCTCATTGCTTGGTCCCCAAAGCCTTATTACCTACTTTATTGCATTGGCTTTAATTGGGTTCCCAAGATGCAGTCTCAGCCCCTGCAGGCAGGCCCAAGTAGGACTGCTAGAGGTTGTGTTTTACCGTTGTAACAGACATTTCTGAACCAAAGGCTGCTGGGTTTGCATGTTTACAGGCTGTACCCTTAGGCCAGTGTCAGAGCTGGCTCTGGGGAGCTAGGCAAGGAGGAGGCCCAGCCCAGGCTCTTCCTGGCTTTTTTCAACCAAAGTTCTTTGCCATTCCTACAAGCCCAGCCTTGCTGCTGGTTTTTCCTTTCCTTTGGGTATTTGCACTATTTGGGGAGCAGGTTTTCTATATGGGAGCCACTTTTTTGTACAGGGGTAATTAGGGTTTTTCAGGGGGCCCTATTTGGTACCTCCTTCCTTACTTTTCACAATCTATGCAAGCGGCTACAGCCGCCATCATCTCCTGGGATGCAGTGGGGCTGCCCACCTCCAGCTGCTTAAGCAGGGGAAGGTGGCATCTCCCAGAGGGTGGGGATGTGCCAGTTCTCTCTAGCCCAGCTAAGGTAGGGGTGCGTGCATGGTGGAGGGCAGGGTTAGCTTAAGGGGAAAGCTGGGAGGACTGTTGTTACCCTTTGTGGAGTTTGGTAGAGGGTGGGCCTAAGGCTTGGCAAATGCCACTTCTGGCATGTTTGGAAATTTCCAAATAAATTCTTTCATTTATTGGTGGTGCCCAGACCCGGTCATTGAACAGCACAGCCACTTATTAACAGACACGTTCTAGAGTTTTTTGCACAGACCTTTATTTGAGGGATCCACACAAAGGACATACCCTCACTTCCATAGTTTCTTGATGGACATGTTTTTCTCACTATCCTTTTGCATGACCTGGGGAGAGAAGGGGAGAAAAGAGTATGCATGGGTGTGCATCCATGTGTGAGCAGAAATTTATGAACTGCATGGCCATAAGCTTAGCCTCTGCTCCAGCAAGGGCAGAAAGGTGAAGGTGGATGCACATACCTTGGCTACTGCCATCTCAAAGTCTTCCTGGGTGACATGGACTCGCCGTTCCCGAAGGGCATACATGCCTGCTTCTGTGCACACACCCTGAGCAGAAAAGAGAGGCTGAGGCCCTGCTCCTGGGCCTCTTAATACTGAGTTGGCTCTTAAACCCAGAGTCTCCTCCTACTGCCCTGCTTTCCAGAAGACTCCAATTACCTTTACTTCAGCCCCCGATGCTCCTGGCATCAGTTCAGCAATTTTTCTCAGGTTGATCCCCCTGGTCAAGTTCATTTTTCGAGAGTGGATTTTCAAAATGTCCAACCGGGCCTAGAGATAAAAGAAAAAAAATCCTGACCACTGCACTCTACCCGCAAGAGTCAGAGTCACTCCAGGCACCACCCACCACAGACCTCCTCGTTGGGGGGTGGGAATTCAATTTTTCTGTCGATCCTCCCAGGGCGAAGTAGGGCAGAGTCCAGGATATCAATCCTATTAGTGGCCATGATAACCTGGGAAGAGAAAGGGGGTAGAACCAGTTAAGCTCCACTTTGGCCTGCATGCCCCCTCACACCTTTACCTGGCTCACCTGGAAGCCTGTATCACCTCACCTTGATGTTCTTGGTGGCCTCAAAGCCATCCAGCTGGTTGAGCAGCTCCAGCATTGTGCGCTGCACTTCACTGTCCCCTCCAGAGCCTCCTTCCAGTCTTGAGGAGCCAATAGAGTCAATCTCATCCATGAAGATGATAGATGGAGCATGTTCTCGTGCCATGACAAACAGCTCCCTTACCATCCTTGCCCCTAGGCAGAGGCCAACCTGGCATTAGGAACTAATGAACATCCTACTTTCAACCAGCTCACATTCTTAAGCCAGTTACCTTCCCCGATGAATTTCTGTACCAGTTCAGAGCCAGAGACACGAATAAAGGTACAGTCTGTATGATGAGCCACAGCTCGGGCCAACAGTGTCTTTCCAGTGCCTGGGGGTCCATACAGCAGCACTCCCTAGGGACAATATACACTTAGGGAAAAAAACCAACCCCTTTCATATAGTGAACATTTACTAAATACTGGCTTTCAGATCCTTTAAGTGAGATAAAGGATGAAAAAATGAAAACAGAAGTCTTTTCTGATGTGTCCAAACTAGTTTAGTGCTCTAGAAATATCCCCTTCTAGCTACTGTTCAGCAGCGAAGGCAACCCCCTGGGTCTACTCTGGGGCAAGAGGAATGAGTATAGCCAGCTTCCAGGAAAGTCTGCTTTTTTATTTTTCCCTGTCTTTGAGACAGGGTCTCCCTGTAGCCCCAGCTGGTGTGGAACTCACTAGACCAGGCTGACCTTGAACAAAAGTCAGCTTCTTACCTTTGGCTGTGCAATGCCCAGTGCTTCAAAAAGCTCAGGGTGTTTCACAGGCAGCTCAATTACTTCTTTGATCTCCTTGATCTGCTTGTCCAGCCCACCGATCATCTCATAAGTTGAATCTGGCACCTTTTCCACCATCATTAGTGACACCAAAGGGTCCACCTTGTTAGGAAGGATCTTATGCAGAGTGTAGCTGTCGTTTCTTAAAGCAACCCGGCAATTGGGTGTTACCTGGATTGAAGGGATGAGCTTTAGAAGTGTGATAAGAGCTGCTCCCCCCACCCAACCGCACCTGCTGCACTTACATCATTGATGTCAATGTTCTTGTCCACATCAACAACAAATTTGCCCTCAGGATGTACCTGAAGAAATAAGAGCCTCTAGAGTCACCACATCATCAGCCCTAACCAGGAATAACCCATGGGAGTCCTAGAATAACATGACAGAACTCTTGTCTTCCCCAGGGGGCTTCATGAAAAAGGGTGGGGATGCAATGGCCTGGTCCTGGGGTCATGCTGCTGTTACCTTGACCAACACTTTTTTCTTATCCATGGCCCGGACTACTTCTCCAACATAGGAGCCCTGTTCCTGCAGCAGCTGCAGTTCCTCCCGCAACAGACGAACTAGATGACAAAAAATAGTCACCTAACTTCTTTGCTGTGCCTTCTTGGGACTCACTCCAGTTTGCAAGAACTAAGGACCTTAACATTTGGAAGGGAAAGTCCCAAGAACTCATGTCTTGAAGGGGATTACAGTGGATCTCTGCAGAGATGTGCAGGGAAACAACTACATAATGACAGTGGAAAGCATCTCCTCAGCCTGAGAGGAGACACTTGAGCAGTTAGATTAGGAACAGCCAGACCTCGGGCTTCAAGCTGCCGACACACAGCTTCCCATCTTCTCCCCTCTCACCTTTGGCATTCAGCTCATTTCTCTGTGCTTGCAGTCTCCGGAGATTTTGGCTCTTATCGTTTACAATCAACTGTGGAGGACAAGAGACAAATCCCATTACTCAAAGGCAATAATATCCTATAGGAGACTGGATCTTGGCTGAAACCCTCACAGGCAGGTGTGAACTGCAAGACACTTGCTCATTTGAGATTCTCCAGTAGCATCATTAAGACCCTGTCCTGTTCTCCCTCAGGAGCCTAAGACAGCCATCACAAAAGGCTTGTCCACTTCTGGTCTAGAAATAACAGTTTAAAAGATAGGCACAGGAGCTGTAGAGCGATGGCTCAGTGGTTAAGAGCACTGGGTGCTCCTGCAGAGGACCTGGGTTCAGTTCCCAGGTACCTACATGATAGCTAACTGTCCATAATTTCAGTTTCAAGGAGTCCAACATCCTCTTGGAGAGGACCTGGGTTTAGTTCCCAGGTACCCACATGGTAGCTAACAACCATCTATAATTTCAGTTTCAGGGAGTCCAACATCCTCCTCTTTTGCCCTCCACAACATTGCATGACACGGGTACACTTATATACATGCAGGCAAAACGGTCATACACATAAAAACATTTTTTAAAAGGTACGCACAGTGGCACAGGCCTATAATTCCAACACTGAGGAGGCTGAGGCTGGAGGCTAGAGAGTTTTAGGCAAGTCTGGGTTACACAGATCCTGTCGTAAGCAATCAGGTAAACAAGCAAACAAAAATATAAAGCAAATGCAAGACACAAGATATGTTTCCAGACTGCACATGGACACATCATCCACTATCCTTTATTTCAGGCCTGAGATACAAAATCACATGTAGATGCATCAAACAACAGTAAACCAAATACCTGGAAATGCATCTGGAGCTCAGAAATTTTCTTTGTGGCTTTCCAACACTGCTTACATTATTTCCCACACTTCTCTGGCTCAGCTCTTTAGATTGGAGCACTGAGTAACCCAGTTCATTCCACTTAGTCCCTATGACATCAGCATTGTCCAGACCCAACCTGCTGTGGTGGGGATTACAGGTGTGGCTGCTACATCCCATTTAGTGGTATTTTTCTATTAAAATTTGACTTTTGAAGATGAGTAATTGAATACTACTGCTCTCAATGGGGTGAATCTTAAAGACAAAAAAGATTATTCATATACCTCATGCAGCAGCATGTTATGGATACTTTTCTAAAAAAGTTCAAAGAAGGGCCTGGAGACATGGCTCAGAAGTTAAGAACTCTTACTGCTCTTGCAGAGTATCCAGGTTCAGTTCCCAACACCCATATGAGGCCTCAAAACCACCTGTAACTCCAGTTCTAGGGGATCTAACACACTCTTCTGGCCTCCATGGGCACCTGCACACACGTGGTGCACATACACTAAACACAGGTGCACAGACATACACATAATATTTATAAAAACTACAAAGAAACAGTATAGGAAAAGAATTCTTCCACTGCACTCCCAATGGAATTACATGGAAGTGCGGAAATCCGTTTCTCTGTTCTTATCCCCGCCTAGCTCTTTCCAGACTCTACTCACCTGGAGTTCTTCAATCTTGGACAGGTAATATTGGCGGAGTCCACTGCCTGCCTTCCCCTCTTCCAGTTCCATCTGAAGACACAGTATGGTTATTAAACATGGGCCTAAACATCCGATATCCTTCTGGCACTTGATAGGACTTAAGACACAAAACCACCCTTCCTCCCCCCAGCTCATTCCTTTTTCTCACAAATCTCGATAGATGAGGTTTCTGGGTTCTTGTTCCTAATCCTTCCTTTTGAACGCGCTAAAAGGATGCAAGTACTGCCTACCTAAGACTTTGAGTAGATCACGGGGCACTTTACACTGTGGCAAAACCTCTGAACCCAAGGGTTATTACTACAGACACAGCTTGTAGGGAGGACGGGAGACCTAGCTCCGCATAAGCCCATTCCCGGTCGCCTACTCCCCTCACTCTGCTCACCCGGGGCAGCGCTGACACAGCAGATCCAGTCCCAGGCAGGGCCCAGTCTGGCCGGATCCACCCACTCCTAATCCACCCGACCCTCTAGCTTGTAGCCACTCCGCCCTTCAGACGCCCCTCGCGCGGCACCCGCATCCGGTCGCCGTCTCGTAGCCAGCGCAGGCGACCTTACCTGCTCCGGCCCGTCAAGCGCCATCTTCCCTCCTCTGCAGAGACCGCCGGCATCCGAGACCCCCCTGGCGCGCAGGCGCGGAAGTGAAGGCTTCGGCCTGGCACCCGGCAGAAGAGTTCCGGGTCAATGGGCAGGGTGTGTGGCGAGAAGGGGCGGTGGTACTGGCTACCGGAAGCCTATGGAGGGGGTGGAGAGACGTGTAGCTAGTAAGTTGCTTCTGATACTCTAGCTTAGTAATTGTTTCTCGTGCTTGCCCTTCCTGGCGCCCACTTCCAACTTTTAAGATATGCAGAGGCCATTTGTGGCCACATTCAAAATGGCGGAAACTCGGAGCCAGGGACGCAGACGTTCGCGGAAGCGGAAATGCGCTTGTTGCCTACATGTGCTGCTCTAAAAGTGGAGAAAACCGTGCGGAGTTCAGAAGCGTCTTTCCAACCCTAGGACTCGTGAGTGCTTGCCGCGGAAAGTGGGAACAGGGGCGGAATCCAGTGCTCAAGAAGATGTTCGCAACTTTGTCTTTCTCCTTAGATTGAGAGGCATTCCATTCCGCCATGGGCAAGAAAGGGAAAGTAGGCAAGAGCCGGCGGGACAAATTCTACCATTTGGCCAAGGAGACCGGTGAGTTAGGGTTCGCGCTGAGAGTGAACGGGAGATCAGTCTTGTCCGCATTTGTTTCACCTTTCCGAATGATAGATTTCTTTTCCGCAGAGGAGGGCGGAGGGTTGAGGCTGTAGAACTGCTAGAATACCCCTCCGTAGACGACGTTGTTTTATACACACCCCTTACCCCCTACCCCCCGCCGCCCAGGTTATCGTTCGCGCTCGGCTTTCAAGCTGATCCAGCTCAATCGCCGCTTTCAGTTCCTGCAGAAAGCCCGGGCCTTGCTGGACCTGTGTGCTGCACCTGGAGGATGGTAACATTTGATTTCTGGTGGCACTTCCCTGGCCCTGGTTGGCTTAGAGTTGGAGGAGGATGGGAATTGGAACGAACTCTCCCCATCCCCGTTGACAGTAATTCCAGGCTCAGGTTAATATAACTATTCCAGAGTATAGGTCGCTCCTAAGCTTTGGGGGGGCAGCTTCCTTATTTTCATTTCTACTGGGGACTGAACCTAAAGAACTCACTCATGCTAGGCAGTGCTCTACGGTCTAGCTATATTCCTCTATTATTATATATTGAGACAGGGTCTCACCAAGTTGCCCAGGCCAGCCTTGAAATTTCAGTCTTTCAGCCTCAGCCTCCCCACTAGTTGGGATCATAGGCCTGTGTCACTAGACCCTGCTCAAGTTTTTTTTTCCTTCTGTTTTTGAGACAGGGTCTCTCTGTAGCCCCAGCTGGACTGGAACTCACTGTGTAGGCTGGCTGGCAGGCCTTGATCTCACAGAGCTCCCTCATGGATGTGCCTCCCTCTCCCTTCTTGATTGTGGAGAAAAGTCTGAATATGTATGTGTTTAGGCCACTACACTTGACAGGTGCCCCTAAAGGGGGTGGTTGTTAAAGGAAGGAAAGGTATTTGAATCTCTGTCCCTTTCATAGGCTGCAGGTGGCTGCAAAGTTTATGCCTGTGTCCAGTCTTATTGTGGGTGAGTGACTCCTGGGTATTTGAGGGAGGGGATTGAGGCACTAACTTTGTCCTCCATCTCCCTCTACCTTGCTTGAGGCAGCCCTTTAGAATACTCTGACCTCACTTCTTCCAGGAGTAGACCTGGTTCCAATCAAGCCTCTTCCCAATGTGGTGACTCTCCAGGAAGACATCACAACAGAACGCTGTAGGCAGGTAACAAGAATCTCCTTTCCTGCCCGTTTACATGCAAACACTGTCTCCTAAAGTTAAAAAACTTCCCAATTTGCTGTGCTTTTCAACAGGTGCCTAAATGACAAGGCCCGTGACAACACTGGTGTCCACTCCATCTTTACTTAGAAATGGGTGTTTTTATTTTTTTCTTGGGATGGGAATCTATGTACCTCACTGTGTAGCCCAGGCTGGCCTTGAACTTGCAGTCTTCCTGCCTCTGCCTCTTGAGTGCTGGGGTTATAGGCATGTGCCACCATGCCTGGCAGGGATGGTGTTATGAATTGGAAGGACAGAGCTTTTCAGTGATGTTCCTTCAAATGAACTCGCACTGTAACCTTTGTAAAGACCAAGGTATCATTTGTTTCTTGCCAGTGCCTGGTACAGGCTGTCACCAGTGGTGGGCACTCAGTAAATGGCTGGGCAGAGTCTCTATTCTTAGCCATTCTTGTGTTTTGTTGCCATAAAGCCTTTACTTTTCATTAGGCTCTGAGGAAGGAGCTGAAGACCTGGAAAGTTGACGTTGTGCTCAACGATGGGGCCCCCAACGTTGGGGCAAGCTGGGTCCACGATGCTTACTCACAAGGTGCAGGGAATGAGGCGCTTGGAGGGTGAGGGTGGCACTCCCTGAGGCTGCAGAGGTCCTCACTGACTGTCTCTATCTTACAGCTCACTTGACACTGATGGCTCTGCGTTTGGCTTGTGATTTTTTGGCTCGAGGTGGCTGTTTCATCACAAAGGTCTTCCGTTCCCGTGACTATCAGCCCCTGCTATGGATCTTTCAGCAGCTGTTCCACCATGTCCAGGCCACCAAGCCCCAAGCCTCTCGCCATGAATCTGCAGAAATCTTTGTAGTCTGCCAGGGTGGGCATCAGTTCTTTCTTGTGACTCAGCCCCCCAATTGTGAAAGCATACTTTTAAGTCTACCTTATCATTTTAGGATTCCTGGCTCCTGACAAGGTTGATGGTAAATTCTTTGATCCCAAGTTTGCCTTTAAGGAGGTTGAAGTTCAGGCTAAGACTGTTACTGAGTTGGTGACTAAGAAGAAGCCAAAGGTGTTTTTCAGAAATGGGTCTTGTAACTGGGAATGGGGCCCAGTGGGTCCTTTGGATACCCAAGAAGGTACTGCCTAACCATCTTTATTTCCCTTCTAAGGCTGAAGGTTATGCCGAAGGTGACTTCACTCTTTATCACCGAACCTCAGTCACTGACTTCTTGCGAGCTGTCAATCCTGTTGACTTCCTCTCTAAGGCCAGCGAAGTGAGTTCCTAGAATGAGGGATAGAAGGGAGCTTTAGAGACAAGACCAGAAAAGTCTCATTCTTTTGCCTCACAAATAGATTTCAATAGATGATGAAGAGTTGGCACACCATCCAGCCACAACTGAGGACATACAAGCCTGCTGCCAGGACATCAAAGTGCTGGGACGCAAGGAGCTCAGGTACATGGTGGGTATAGGGGCCAGGGGAGTTAAGGCAGGGACCAGCCTGTAAAGGCTGTGATGTTGGCTGAGAACCAGGATTCTGTTGAAGTTTGTGACTGAAGCTTGAAATTTGGTGTGGATGTAAAGGAGGGGACAGGGACAAAGGTGGAGATGGTTAAGACTTGTCAGTAATAGTATTTCTTGGGCAGGTCTTTACTAAATTGGAGAACAAAGCTTAGGCGGTATGTGGCCAAGAAGCTGAAAGAGCAAGCAAAGGCCCTAGACATCAGGTGAGGAGGGAAACCTGGGTTGGGTAGGATTGGGTGTTAGAGGAAGTGTGCCTGTGAAAATAAGCAAACTCCGGTCTATTTTGTCAGCCTCAGCTCAGAAGAGGAAGAAGGTGATGAAGAAGAGCCAGCAGCTGAGACAAAGAAGGTGTCTAAGGAGGAAGAGGAGGAGGAACAGCTTAACCGGACCCTGGCAGAAATGAAGGCCCAGGAGGTAGCAGAGCTAAAGAGGTGAGGGGCTCTGGGGAGGACTTTGAGGACCTCTAGTCAGAGTTCCTAAGTACGTGAATGGCACGTGAATGGTTTTTGGAGCTGGTGCCCATTAAATCCTTCAACCTGTCCATTCAGGAAGAAAAAGAAGCTGCTGCGTGAGCAGAGAAAGCAGCGTGAGCGCATAGAACTGAAGATGGATTTGCCTGGGGTTTCCATTGCAGATGAGGGGGAGACTGGCATGTTCTCCCTACGTACCATCCGGGGTCAGCAGGTAAGGACGGCTGAAGGTACAGATAGGGATTGGGCTATTTATCTGGAGGTAGAAGACATTGGATTAAGTGAACTGATTATGGGGTTTGGTTGTTTCATTCACTCATAAAATTACTTTGTGAGGAGACTATAGGGAAAAAAAAAAAAAGCCCTGTGACGCGAACACCAAAAAGAAACAGACCTAATATGAAATCAGGAAGATTTGTGCAGCGTGATATCAGTTTATCCTTATAGAATATAGGCTAGAATATTAAGACCTTACATTCTGCCAGTGTTGTGTTACACACCTTAAATCCCAACACTGGGAGGTAGGGGCAGATGGATCTCTGTGAGATTGAGGCCAGCCTGACCTACATGGTTCCAGGCCAACTGGGGCTACAGGGAGACTGTCTCAAAAACCAAATAAAGTAAAAAAGACCTTGCATTAAACTGCTGGGTGGTGCTTCTGTCAAATACTGAAGAACATGCTTTTCCTGTCACAGACAATAGAACAGATGCAATCTTTAGCTCCATCTCTACCACTTGAGTTCTATGACTGACAACCACATACCATCTCTTAGCCCATTTCCTTATCTGTAAAACAAGAATACACCTTATCTACTGGGAGTTTTGTGGCAAAGTAGCCACTAAAACTTTTAATATTTTATATTATGTATTTTATCTCACGTGTATGAGTATATTGCTTGTGTGTAAGTGCGCCCATGTGATGCAATGCCAGTACAGTGGAGGTCAGAAGAGAGCATTGGATCCACTGGAACTGGAATTACTGAAGTTATTATCTGCCATATGGGTGCTGGGAACCATATTTGGGTCTTTTGTAAGAGCAGTCAGTGTTCTTAACTACTGAGCAACTTCTCCAGCCCCAAAGAATTAGCTTTAAAAAAGAGTATGTTCTGACATTCAAGAAATGGTACCTATGTTATTTTTATGTGTGTTTTGTGCATATAATGCACAAAAGAGGGCATTAGATCCCCTGGAACTGGGGTTATAGATAGTTGTTAGCCACCATGTAGTTGCTGGGAACCCAGTCCAGGTCCTCTGCAAAAGCAGACAGTTAATCTTAATCACTGAGCAACCTCCCCAGCCCCAGAGAATTAGATTGTTTTTTTTTTTTTTTTTAAAAAAAGTACATTCTGACATTCAAGAAATGGTACCTATGTCTGTCGTGAGAAAACACGTTAAAGCTCTGAGTGGTTGAAGGGGATCAGTTCTGTTAGGTGTATGTTTCAGTGGGATCAAATGTGTGAATGGCATACACAGGCAATTCAGGTGGCTTCTGAGATTTTTAAACTAGTCAGTGGGAACAGAGCAGAATTGGCTGTTTTAGATAGGCTGATGACTTCCTTGGTCACAGCTGAAGTGTAAGAGTTTAACATATTTGCCAGTATTCTTACTGATGTTGCTGAGAGTACTAGAATCTATGTTCCTGTTAAATTTCAGTTGTTAGAGGAAGTAACACAAGGGGACATGAGTGCTGCAGACACGTTTCTATCTGATCTGCCAAGGGATGACATCTATGTGTCAGATGCTGAGGATGATGATGAAGATACTTCTCTGGAAAGTGATCTGGATCCAGAGGAGCTGGCAGGAGTCCAGGGACAGTCGGGTCTGAAGGACCAAAAGTGGTAAGGGCTCTGAGAAGGGTGCTGCCATCATTAGCTTCATTCCTGATACCACTGGTATCGGCACTGCCGGAGACTGAGAGAACAAGGCCTCTGGGGGTCACAGAGCTTCACCCCTTTCCTTTGGTCTACAGCTCACCGTTTGCTCAAATAGATGATGAAAAAGAGGAAGAGGAGGAAGAGAATCCATTGCTGGTACCACTGGAGGGAAAGGCAGTGCTGCAGGAAGAACAAGCTAGCCTGTGGTTCTCAAAGGTAACAGCTGAGGAGACTGATGGGATGGTGGCATTCCCTGGGAAGAGGGTTGCTGAGATTTTCCTGTCACAGGATGGCTTCAGTGGGATTGAGGATGATGCTGATGAGGCCCTAGAGATCAGTCAGGCCCAGCTGTTGTATAAGAGCCATCAGAAGGGGAAGCAGCAGCCACCTCCACCTAGTTTGAAGACTGAGAGGAAACCTGTCCAGTACCAGAATGAGGTCCCTAAGGAGACTGAGGCTATTTCAGGGACAGAAGCTACCATTGACCCTGGAGAAGACCGAGATGACAGCTCAGACAGTGACACTAGTAGCAGTGAGGATGAAGAAAGGTGAGTAGGTACAGCCAGTGGGAAAGGGGTGAAGCAGCAGTTTCAGTCATTTTCCTAAATTGGGGGTTTTCAGCCTTGGGTGTCTGTGATGTGGTAGCAAAGTTTGTGCAATTTTATTAAGTGGGAGGTGGGAAGTTGGAATGTGTGGTTGAAGAGGATGGGACTCAATCCTGCTCTCTTCCACAGTTGGAAAACATCCCATGGCATGAAACGAAGCCGTGGGCCTAAGTTGGATGATGGGTTTGAAGTAGTACCTATTGAGGACCCAGGTAAGAGCTGTGCACAACAGTGGAGAGAAACCAGTGGCAGTTTCAGTGCTGAGAATCCAGCTTTGACTTTTGTCTTTTCCTCTCTAGTAAAACATCGGATTCTGGACCCCGAAGGCCTTGCTCTAGGTGCTGTAATTGCCTCTTCGAAAAAGGCCAAGAGAGACCTCATAGATAACTCCTTCAACCGGTAAGTGAACAGAACAGCATGAGGTGCAGTGGGCTAAGTGAATGATTTCTTCCTTAGAAAAAAACATGTTAAGACTAGTATCCTCTCCACTCAGGTATGCATTTAATGAAGATGAGGGGGACCTCCCAGAGTGGTTTGTACAGGAAGAGAAGCAGCACCGGATACGCCAGCTGCCTATTGACAAGAAGGAGGTAGAGCATTACCGAAAACGCTGGCGGGAAATCAATGCACGACCTATCAAAAAAGTGGCTGAGGCTAAGGCCAGAAAGAAACGAAGGGTAAGTAGTAGAGGTTAGGACTCTGTGGGACGGTAATGAGGAAACAGGTCATCTAACAGAGAGTCCCTCCCAGATGCTGAAGAAGCTGGAGCAGACCAAGAAGAAGGCAGAGGCTGTGGTGAACACAGTGGATATTTCAGAACGAGAAAAGGTGGCACAGCTGCGAAGGTAATTCAGCAGATGATACCAACAGATGATACACAGACAAGGGTGAAATAGAGCAACAGAAAGCAATCCTTTAACCTGTTTCTTTTCTTTTACAGTCTCTACAAGAAGGCTGGGCTTGGCAAGGAGAAGCGCCAGGTTACCTATGTAGTAGCCAAAAAAGGTGTAGGGCGTAAGGTGAGGCGGCCAGCTGGAGTCAGAGGTCATTTCAAGGTAGTAGACTCTAGGATGAAAAAGGACCAGAGAGCACAGCAACGCAAGGAGCAGAAGAAAAAATACAAACACAAGTGAGCACAGCTCCCCAGATCTCTGCAAAGACTAAAGAAAGACTAGAAAGGAGGAGTGGCGTAGGTCACTGTGGCAGCTTTGGTGCCTGCTGTTGTTGCTCAGAAGATGGGGAGATATTGGGTACCTATAATTCTGTAATATTCTTGAACAGTGGCCTGAAGGACGGTCTCCCATAAAAGCACCAAGAATCATCTTTTTCATGATAGGACCTCCTTCCCCCAAACTTCCATGAAGAACTTGAGAAGGAAACTAAGGGGCAATTCCATGAATGTGGCCTTTGTTGTAGCCTATTCTTGGCATGTGGCCTTTTGGAGAGTCCTCCCCCTTTTCCCATTATTAGCTTAATAAAATGATGATAGAAGAGATGTCTTTTCTGATAAGTTTAATAAGCAAGCACTTCCCCACATTTCACATCATGGGCCACATTGTTCCAAGTCATAATTTAATATGTACCAACCATGGTAAGGTAGAAATGACAGTCGCAGATGATAGGTCCCAGTAGTAAAACATTTACTATAGAGCAAGCAGAAAGGAATGCACATCTTAAAGAAACCTTCACAAAGTCACAAAATTCAAAGTTTATATATTTCTTTTCCTTTTATAAACAAGAACAGAAATCATCAGAACCATTTCAGCAAAAGACTTCTACTAGAACATTGGGGCAAGTTAAAAAAAAATACAATGAAATAGACACTTTAAGAACTGTTGTTGGATTGCGTTTTTTGACCTTGAATTTAGTACCTCAGGCCTGTAACAATCCTGGAACTTGTCCAGGATGAACATTACCCTTCAATTCTAGTGGCTCCAGGAATCTCAAAGCCTGAATTTAGAAGGTTGCCTCTTCCTCCATGTCTCAGGGCTGGATACAAAATTGTCTGGGGAATCTGCGTATCAAGTATTTCCCCCTGCAAATGTCCCAAAGCACCAAACTGCTTTCCAAGCATCCCTAACAGATCAAAGGGTTGGGTTTGCAGAAGCCAACTCCTAAAAATGGGACTGCCTGGCCACAGCTAAGGAAAAACTCAATTGACAGCTGCTTATAAGGTGACATTTTAGTAAAAAATATAAGCTATTATAAACCTAGAGTGAGTTTGTGCCCTGTAAAGGCCCTTCCTCCCTAAGTATCTTCCACTTATTCTCCTTACACTTCACCCAGTTCTCACTGCTTCCCAGGACCAAAGTAGCTTCCCAAGAAAACATCTGAATCAGATGCCGGTATAATGTCTCCACACTCCAGTTCTCCGAGGGCAGGGTTCCTTACGTGTTGGATCCCAATCCAGTCCTGAGACACCTAGTCACCAAAATCTCTCTAAAACTAAAATTAAAGACAACCTATTTCACGTTGATTTTCATATACCCTCTAACTGTCCCACCGACTTTTCTTGCGTTTGGGTGGCTCTGGGACAGCAAAACCATCAGGTGTCTTATCTGTCTTGCTGTCCATCTTGCTGCTGTCCATCCTGTTTTCACGATTAAAACCTTCTTTCCTGCTTTCTCCATTCCGACCATCATTTGCACCCCGGCTCTCTCCATGCCGGCCTGTACTTCCTCCATGCCTGGTCTCTCCATGCCGGTGGCCATCGGTATGACGGCTGCTGCTGCTTTCGGGATAACGGTACCCATCTCCATGGCGACCACCATCTCCATGCCGTGGACTGTCCCCATGTCGATTGCCGCTATCTCCGTGACTATGACGGCCACTGCCCCGGTTTTCAGTATATCTCTCCCTTTTCCCATTGCCACCCCCAATCCCTTCACGGCTATTATTCCCTGAAGCCGTGTTGTTGACGCCTTGGGCTCCAACAGAAGGGTAGGTCACTGGGGCACTGCTGATGTTCCCAGAATTGCTAAAGCCTGGGATGTTCTTGGTAGCACTGGTGACGGAGCTGTCAGGACTATTATGGCCCTGTTGTGCTGAATTAGTTGGAACAGAATTTAAGCTCCCTGCACTAGTCCATCCACTCGCCCCAGCAGCAGAGCTTCCAGCCTTCTGATTACTTAAGCTGGCTGCAACGAAGTGACTCTTGTACTGGGACTGAAAGAGAAAGAGACATCGGTAGGTACAATAACAAACATAAGTATACAGGTTAAGTTTGGCCACAATTACATATACAGAACTCTGAGCTATGCAATCTTGTCACTGTGATAATATCCTGATGGCTCTGCAGCATAGGGGCCCTTCTGACTCGTGTAAGAGAAAAATCAGACTTGCAGAGGACCTCAAGGTACTAAAGTTTACTGCCTGATTTTTATGGTCTACAACCTGTTACAGTTTAAACATCCAACAAGTTTGATAGCAACAGACTAGCGGCATAGCACTGAGCTACACATGAATAGTGTGGGGTCTGCTTTTCAGCTATGAAAATAAGTGACAGCAAAACCTAACTTGAACTTAGAGATTATTAATATAGTTCAAAAATACCTGTGTGCATGTGCATATCATATCCATACTATCTTTCTCAAATTTGAAAAATAAAGTATAAACTGCTCAACAAAGTTTTCAGAGTTCTATCAATGAAAGCAGAAAAAAAAAAAATCTTAGGACTAAATTAAATCATCAGTTGGGAGACAAGTGAAAACTGGGGTTGGAGAGATGACTCAGTGGCTAAGCGCACTGGCTGCTCTTGCAGAGGATCCAGGTCAGTTCCCAGCTAACACTGCCTGTAACTCCAATTTTGGGGGATCGGACACCCTCTTCTGACCTCTGTAGGCATTGCATGCGTGTGGTGCACTTACACACATGCAGGCAAAACAAGCAAATTTTTTTTTAAATCATCCAGGTAGCTAGCCAAGTGGAAAGAGCAATGCCAATAAAAGGTCTAGAGTTCACAGAATCAAACTCATCTTGGCTGAAAAAATGGTAATTGGGTTGGTGAGATGACATAGTAAGGGCACTTACTACCAATCCTGAAGACCAGAGTTTGATCCCTGGGACCCACATGGTAGAAGGGGAAAACCAATTATAACAAGTTGTGATTTCACCACCACATGTACTCTCTGGCATGTGTCCTCATGCACCACCCCCAAATAAAGATGTCAATTATTTGAAACAAAATACAATAGCCTTGTAGGTAGGCAACACCACACACTGTAGAAACAGGGAGGGACACACCCCATAGTAGTACAATTCCAGGCTTTGGTTGTGACTGATGTAGATGGCCAACACTGGGGTTTTTCTAGTTCTAAATTTGCATATTCAGACAGGGTACTGTTAAATGGATATGTAAAATTCAAGTAAGGAAAAGGCTCTAAACCTAGCATGGAGCTTACAAACCTAACTATTATCTCAGGAAGGTCCTATCACCACTGTCAGGAATTACTATAAAAGTTTTTTAAATGAAATACTTATTTCAGACCTGAAAAGCTGCTTTCATTGCTGTTAGTCGATCTCCCATGGCTCCTGTAGAGGGCTTATAGGCCTCATAATTGCTCATTACATTGTTGTTATTTCCTCGGTCCTAAAAAACAAACATATCCATGAGGAAGAGATGTAGACAGAAAAGCAAATGTCACAGATTAGGACTCACTATACTGAAAACTCTGAAGAGTGAGCTGCAGTGGTAACTGCATATTTTTTAAAAAGTTACTTCCTCAGGGCTGGGGATTTTAGCTCAGTGGTAGAGCGCTTGCCTAGCAAGCACAAGGCCCTGGGTTTGGTCCTCAGCTTCAGGAAAAAAAAAAAAAAAGACAAAAAGTTACTCCCTTAGTGAGGATCGGTATAGTAAGAAAAGGTTATCATAAAAGGCTTATGCTCCTCAACTTAGTAATTCTGTTTCTGGGAATTAACCTTAATAATCAGAAATGTTATCAAATCATACCTACACAGATGATAATATATTATCGCAACATTCTATTGAGTAAAAATTATGTTAAAGATGAAACGGCTACTAATACAGAGTAATGTGTAGCTTCTTAGGCTCTGAATCAACACCATTAGGGCCTGAATCTCCATTTCTACACTTCCCAGTGTGTAACTTCTGGTACACCTCAGCTTTTATTACAGTGCTTTTTACACTGGGTTACAGGTACAATTAATAATTGGAATACCATGGCATATATAAAGTGCTCAATAACTATCAGTTACCACGTAGTACTTACACCATCAACATTACTGTATTGGTATCGATCTATCAAAGGTGCTAGATTAACATTAATGCTCCAGAAAATCCTTCATTTACCTGATTTGTAACAACATCTAGGTCTACTCACCTCTCTCTAATTCAGGTTTTCAGAGCATACAGACTGTTTCTGAGTTTAGTGACAAGATATAGTGATTCTCTGGCAACATTTCACAAACAGTAGGCTCTAAGCTAGTACAGGAAGGCTTTTAAAACAGACTGCTGGATCCCATATATACCCAGAGTTTCTAATTTACTAAGTCTGAGGTGGATGATGAGTTTACAAACCTAGTGGTACAGGGATTAAAATTTGAAAGCACTATTAATCTAGTAATTTCCGAATAAGCCTACTAAGCCAAATATACATAGATGCTTCCTCCATAGCAGGTTTCATTATAAGAAACAGCATTGCAATGAATCAAATCAGATTAAATATATACTCCCGGGTAGGGTTTTGGACTCTCAAGGCTTTCTTGAGTAGATCGAAATATCATAATTCAAGACATGGGGCCTACTCCAAGAACATTACTGTAGTCTGAGCTCACCGAATTCTCAGAGCCTAGGCCTGGCCGCTCTCTGTAGCCCAGGCCTCCTCCACCAATGTTCAGCTTTTTGCCTTTCCCTCCTTTGAAGCGGGACTTCCGAAACCAGGCATTCTGTATTGAACACAATTCAAGGTTAAGACCATGAAGGGAGAAAAGGCCAAAAGAGGAAGATAGGGTCAAAAAGAAAATTAAGAGGGCAGAACTTTCTGGTTCATCTTTAGCCAATGCTTTTATTTATTTTTACTTAAAAAAAAATAAATTATTTATTTTTGGTCTTTTTGAGACAAGGTCTCTCTGTAGCCCCAACTGGCCTGGAATTCACTATGTAGACCAGGCTGGCCTTGAACTCACAGAGATCCACCTGCCTCTGCCTCCTGAGTGCTGGGATTAAAGGTGTGTGCCACCATGACTGGCTTTATTTATTACTTTTATTTTCTGTGTATGAGTGTACTGCCTGCAAGTGCAATGCCCACAAAGATCAGAAGAGGGCGTGGGATCCCTTGGAAATGGAGTTACAGATGGTTGTTAGTAGCCATGTGGGTGCTGGGAATCAAACCTGGGTCCTCTGCAAGAGCAGCTAGTGCTCTTAACCACTGAGTCATCTCTACAGCCCCATAGCCAAAGCTTTTATAACGAGGGAAGGATTGTATATAGGAAACAGCCTGTCTTGGCTGTTTTTGTGAGAAAGTGTCTCCTATAT